GAAAAAATTTAAGAAACATAAACTGGATCCCTTCAGTTTCCTCTCTCTGTTTTTTTTTTTTTTCAAAAACTGGCCAGACACCTCTAAACTATTATTTCAATACTGAGAGACGTCTTTATTCTCACACTGCACTGCTTTTAACTCTGTAACTGTACTTCTAATCCTCAAATTTAATATTCCAACACAAATGTGGCATTGTTCGCCCTCCATATAAACTCTACTGCACCTCCGCATAAAACACTCTGCTGCCTCTTATGCAAATTGAATCTGACGGAATTACATGCCTTTTCCGATCCCGGATTTAGGAAACACCACAGTTTGACAATTTAAAACATAAAAGGAACAGTTGTATTGTACTTTAAGCTGGTTTATGACATCTGCCGTCACGGCAGAGCACGCTTTCGCGCTCACAACATGTGCTGCCCCAGCCCCCCTATCTCTGCAGCTGCGGCTCTTTGTTCTCCACGGAGCCCTAAATTCGACAACAAACGCTATTTTTAACCCCAATAAAGACACAGATACACAAAAACACAAACAGAAACGCTAGCATGACAAAGAAATTTGATTCTAGAAATGAAAGAGACACAGAAACAATCTGAAACACTTCACGTATATTTACCCTCCCCCGTTCAGGTTCACAGCTTGCATTTTACAACATCACGAAGCAGATACACGAAGAACACGGCCAAATGAACGTCTTTTTCTGTAAGTTCGTGAATAGAAAATGCAAAACAGACCTAAATTCGTGACGCCATTTTGTTGTGTCTCTGTTTGTCTCTGGTTCCGTTTCGGTTCGGTTCNCTGCACCCGTTTTTTTTTTCCACCGGGCAAAAAATGCATTTAAACCAGCTGAAGTTAACTTTAGATCACAGTTTGAAATGTACACTGAAGGAAAACTGCATCACGACTTTTATACTGCGGTCAGAGCAAACATGATCTGAGCAGTGTCTGCCTGGTTCACATGTTTAAATGGACGGCAGCGCTTTACTCGCTCTTATGAACATAACAGCGAGAAAAGACCGTGAGCTTTTTATTTTAATCCAGCAGGGAGAACAATACAGGTGTTTTTCTATGCCTCCTGTGAGCAGCTCCAATTTTTAAAAAGAAAAACAACGCGGACACGCTGATTACAGTGCGGTTTCAAAGTGAAAGTTAAGACACAGCGCTCCCGTTCGAAGTGAAACAAACACACAGCTGTTCTCTCTACCACTAATATTCCGACTCAGAGGGCAGAAACAGCTAAATTAAACAGTTAAAACACATTTATAGTTCATAACTCAACCTTATTGTTGTTAGCACTCTGTCTCACAACATTAGCAGCCGCTCTCTCCCTGAGGGAGGGGGCGGCAACATGCGCTTGCGTGACCCAAAGAATGGATCGGCCAAACGGACGGACGTATCGGCCGAAACCGATATAAGGAAAAAATGCAAATATTGGCCAAAAATATCGGCCGGCCTATGTATCGGTCAACCCCTAGTGACCATTTTCTACTGATAATTCTCATAGCTCTTTTTTGTAAAATATAAATAGGATTTTATGTCCTCCTATATCCACAGTATTCCTGATTTCGCGCCACTACCCATAATTCATAGCAAAAGCGGGTTCCATATTTCCGCTTGGCATTTGTTTACAATTACGAGGATACACCATCGCTGTTTATCAAAGCATTTGCCTTTGAAATTTGGCATAGATGGCCACATATTGGAGATGGATATACTGTAAGGATATTTTAAAAAAGTAGCAAGGACAATTCTTTATCAGTGGCTCAGCTGTCACTGCTCACGGAGCTCACGGACTGATGAAGCTATGTCCCGATGTTAGCTAATAGCTACTACTGACATCAACTAATTTGTCTTTACCAGAAGACACACACATGCAAAATCATAAATGTCAACCATTCTGGAAGTAAAATGTTCATAAGCCCCTCAGAATTGTAATAATAGTATAAAAGTATTGTGATTAGACNAGGCACAGCTAAGATACTGCGCAGAACCCTCAAGCTCCCAGGCCTCTGGTAGAGGACCCGAGCTCAGAGGATGAAAGAGACCACCCGCGTCTGGTACATGCACATATCTGGTTTTATGGTTTATACAGCTGGTTTATCATTCATGGTCATTTGAGGAAAAGATCAAATCTGGCTGCAAAGTTGTGTTTGATCAAAGATCTGACAAAATGATGAATGAAGCTGTGTCAACCACTAATCAGCTGCTGCTTCTGTTGCTATTAGAAAGCACTACTGGTGATCTAAAATATCAGTTTAAAATGAAAAGTTTCATTGAGCTCATCAAATCAAAAGGATTATATCATGTTTAGTTGCAGTCTTTACTTCTGTATAAACTTTGAGTGGTGATAAAGACACAGTGACCTCAGTTTATTTTGAGTCATGTTGTTCTGCAACTGAAAAGCTGTTTATTAAATCTAGTTTTTTCTTCTGATATGTTCTGAAAGCAGCTAAGTTCAGATATTACAGATCCTTTTCAGTAATCATTTTATGATTGACATACATTTTACTTTGTTAAGGTTTGGTTGTTTGTTTGTTTGTTTGGCAGTCAACATTTTGATGTGACAATTTGCTGTCTTGTCAATTTTGCAAGCATTTAAGGGCCTTTTTAATTTATTACAAAATAATTGAATGTATCTATAAGGATTTTGAGATCAACAAAATCAGGCTGATGGTATACAGTATCTGAGATGGCTGCACTAAACATTGGGCGTTGAACAATACATCTATCCACATCAATAAACAGATTAAATGATTAATGATTCAATTACAGCAAGGCAAAACAAAGATATTGATCCATATATCGAACAAAATCACTGCGTTATCATCACATCATATCGATGGCAAACTTGGGAATTAAATTGAATTGGAATCATATCATGACAGACTTTAGGACATCGAGAAACATCGTCATCCAAAACAAATGGATATAATATTGTATCGTGTTAAAGCTGGTGATTTACACCCCTACTGACCCTTACTTGCTCAGGAAGGCGAAAAGCTCAGCAGAACATCAGTGAAGTTCCTGCTCTTACAGAAAAATCTGAATAAATGTTCCTCTTAACTTAGTTCCCTTTTCAAGTTGTGCTTTGATCAGTAAGAAAAGCAGTCTGCACCCAACACTGATTTCACTTTCAAATTCGTTCACGTTTCAGCTCTACTTACAGAACAAGCGAGAAAGAAAAAGAAAAATAAAGAAAAAAAACAGTGATCCATTTTTACACTTTTATCTCACGTACCACACACAAATACACAACTCTTATTACGATGTTCCTCTGGCTTTAGCGCTCCCCGCACCTTCACAGGTATCTAGAGTCTGACTGACAACTGTTGAAGCATCAAAACTAATCCCATTACCTTTGATTCACGTCTGGGAAGCAGATTTGACTCCATCTGCCTCCAGCTTGTGGAAAACGTTTGCGGGGGGGTTGGGGGGCTCACTCACCTCCTGTGTCCACAAGCAGCTGAAGCAGTCGTCCTAATATCCTCTTTCATTTAAAAAAAATTGCCAATTCAATTCCTCTCGCCTTTTCTGGCTTTACTTCATTCTGTTATCGCATCTGTAGATAAAACAGTTGTACCTTTTGGCCTCAGAGAGAAGTTAAAGACAAGAAAATGTTTTCATTCTTACTTTTAGTTGTGAAAAAAGTAAATGTTGCCAAAAAAAACTCTTTGAAATGAAACCAGGAACCTTTTTAGTGGTATAACAGTGCAAGATGTTATAAGATCAGAACTATATGAAATATTAAGAACAATTATTCTCCTAATTCATGTTTGGTGTCTTCGGGGTTTTTGCGTTTTCCTGAGCAGTCCCCATTTACATTTTAAGGTTAAAGCATGTTTTTTGTGTCTTTTAAAGCTTTTGTTCATGAGTTGAGCTGAAAAACTGCAGTGTTGAAGTTGATCATTTAGGCATTTTAGGTAATCGATTGTTTTTAAACTTGGGGCTGTAGTTTTAGAAAAAGGCTATGTTCCATTACAGCAATAACCCAGAGGGGGGGGGGAGCTAACTCCGCACAGAAATGGTTTGTAGAATTTGCTTCTAGGTAACTTTTTTTAGCCAGCAGAGAGCGGCTCCATCCAAACACGTTTTGGAGAAAGCCTGCCTCGGCATCCAGCCTCACTAATACTCTTGGTTTGATGGCAGCTCATCTCTGCTGCAAGGCTTCAGTAACTGTGGCAGGCCAAAAACAAGATGCCAGTGCAGACACATGAATATGTGCACGTTCTCAACATGAAAACAAGCAAAACTTGGGGTCCTATGCTTTGTAGCTACTTACAGAATTGTTCATGTGTAGGAAGTCTTTTAAAGTGCCTGTGACGTCAAATTTTTGTATGAATTCATTATTTGAAAGATGAAATTGACAAAATATTGCAAAAAAATTTCATGTCACTGAGATGAACAGTTGTTGAGATATTTGCATGTGAAGTAAGAGGAAGTGATGTCAAAGGGGAATGTCTGCATGTGAACAGAGTGTTGCTACAACAGCCAACAACCCAGACTGTAGAGAAGAATCTGATGTTTCTTGAGATTATTTTGAGTCACAGAGAGAGAGACAAAGAAAAGTCAGAGATAAAATATTACTGTTTCAATAAACAAAGACCAGAGAGTTTTCTTTGTTAAAGAGTTCCCCTTTGATGTCACTTCCTGTTTCACTTTGGCTGAGCCAAGTTCAAAAGGAAATTTGCCAGTTATGTGACAAAATTGGTAAAATTGTGTGTATTGTTCCAACTTTCTTAAATATAAAGATGTTTTCTTTGACTTTTTGTATTTGAAGAATATGCAGGCCACAGGCACTTTCAGTCCAGATTTAATAAGCTGTACAACAGTTCTCATCACAAACAAAATAAGAAACCAGCTTCAGTTCTATAAATGTAAAAAAAGAAAATACTACATTGCTTCGGTGATGATGAGGTGTTAGATTCTTCATCGCCATCTTTTGTAACCACCGGCCCACCTTGTCTGATACTGTGACCTCTTCCTCTTCCCACTCGCAGAAAGCCCGACTGGCCCGGATAAGAATAGCTAAATCCAGCAGCGCCAATGCCTTCCTCCAGGGCAAACGCAACGGACTCATCAACGAGCTGCTGGAGCTGACGGTGAGAAAAACCCTCTCTGGCCCTCCCTGACACGCAAACATCGAGCTGGATTTGATCAATCCTGGAAAACCGCTTTAGCTGACATCATAAAAAATGTTTTGCGATCCCAGCGAATTTTTATTTGCACTTTAGACATTGATATTATTACTCTGAGTTAAACTCTCCCCTCCTAATTATTTCAGTCCACTGCAACGCAGTAGCTCGGGGGTAACGACTTTACGTCTAGAGTACAAACACACACCAGCAAAGCGCCATCCATTATTGCCATGATTAACCAAAAGACAATTTAAAAGTAATTTCGAGGCTATAAAAGTGCAGCAGAAGCAGGAGTCGTTAAATTGTTGTTGTTACACGGGGCAGGGTTGATAGCAGAGGAGTTATGTGTATAATTCTCTGTGCTGGTGTTATCAGTGTAATCACACACAGTGCTTTTCCTGCTGTCCTTCAGTCTGAGACTTGATTCAACCTGGCTGTGGTTTCTCACAGCAAGCTTTGAGAAAAAAATATGGCTTTTACTTGGTTGTTGAGTAGCTCTTTATAACAATTAAATGACCAGTGCATCAAATAAAATGTGAGAATCTTTTAAATGAAATCACTATAAAATTGTTAGATAATGGAGAAAGTGCAAAATGTCCAACAGAAAACTGGCTGTTTTCCCAGGACAGCGTTTTTGTTGGACCAGGCTAATCATCTTCTAACTCCAAATCCATTTTGAATTCACTGACAGACATTTCTGAGCCTTATCATGTACACGAGAATACAACAGGTACAGATTTCAACTTGTTAATTTGTTTTCTCCTTAATTACACATCCTTTCTGAAGGCTTGAAACTCCACCTGCAAACATTAGTCAGCGTTTTTGTCCGTCCTTTTCCCTTTCCACGTTCACGCGTTTGCTTAAAAAAAATGTAATCACCGTGGAAAACTGTGTTTGGTAATGCATGAGCAAATTGCCCATATCCTTGCCATCCAGCCCATCACTCTTGCTTTCAGTGACACACTCCGCGCCTTACAGATGGCTACCAAAATCCATTTGGATCTAATCGAGTCCAGTGTGAAAGCTCATGGGTGTCTGGAAGTGGTTAGAATTATCATATAAATGCCATCTGTGAGTGCTGAGCAAACCCCCACCCCCCACCCCCGTCCGTCCCATCCCTCTGCGTCTCTGTGATGAGGCTGCCAGAGTCCTGGTGCATCAAATTACAGTGGTGTCACCGCTGACAGTCAGTCAGAGGCGCTGCATGGGGCCGGGGTGAAAGTGAGTGCGTATTTATAACAAAATGACTGGTTCTCCCACAGCTTAGAGTTAGATTAGAAGTTCACAGCAGGTCTGCTTACATTTGGGCGATTTTACAGTTTGACAGGCGTTTATTGGTTACATAAATCAGGACCTTGTTGTCATAGAGAGAGATTTATTGATTATTCTGTCAGGTGTGATGATAACCCTGCTAAGAGGCCATTACAGCTTTATCCCTTTGAATGCTGATACCATAATACTTACTTTTCATATAAAACTGATCGGATTACCTCTGTGCCTGCATTTATTTATTTTTTTTTCTGGTTGTAAAATAATGTATTACTGCTCATTCATCTTTTTTTCCTGCAGTAATTTAAATTGATCTGTTGTTTAAGAAAGATGTTCAGAACTTAACGCCCCCCCCCCCCCCGCACTTCTTCCTTTATTGCAACCAAACATGTTGCTGTCATGTTTCAATTAGGAGCCTTTTGCTTTTAAGGTGTGTCTACTTTTTTGAATAAAATATCTAATCTAACAGCAAATGTATGGTTAGGGTAAAATAAAACATTAAAAATGTCACTGACACATTTTCATTATTTAGCTCATTTTCGGGGACAGTTGCAACACTTTTTTTCATTTGGCTGTTATTCAGAGATGGTTTGGATTTGAAAAACCAAATTTTTATACGATAAACTTATATCTGTCTGTTAATAGTCAAAACCATTAATAGATGATTAAAGAAGGGATGTTCTTCACAATTTGCATTTGAAGATGAAAAGTCAGATGTTGCAACTGACCCCAGTGCCAGGAACAGTTGCAACATTGTTTGGGGGTGGTTGCAACATATTATTAACACAGTATGTTTCACTGTAAATAAAAGTTTTACTATTTTTATATTTACAGCGGGTAAAATAAGTATTGAACACGTCACCATTTTTCTCAGTAAATATATTACTAGAGGTGCTAATGACATGAAATTTTCACCAGATGTCGGTAACAACCCAAGTGATCCATACATACAAAGAAATCAAACATAAATGTCCAGAAATGAAGTTATTTGTAATAATGTGGAATGGCACAGGGAAAAAGTATTGAACACATGAAGAAAGGGGGATGTAAAAAGGCATGGAAAGACAAGACACCAGCTGAACTCTCTCAGTAATTAGAAAGCAAGCCTGCCCCTTGTCAGTGCAAGTTAATTTCAGCTGGTTCAGTCCCAAATGATGGCCAGGTATCACACAAGAACCATCTGATGATGGGTAAAAGTAAAGAGCTCTCTCAAGACCTTCACAACCTTATTGTTGCAAAGTATAATGATGGCATCGGTTACAGAAGAATGTCTAAACTTCTGAAGGTTCCAGTGAGCACTGTTGGAGCCATAATTCAGAAGTGGAAAGAACATTATTTCACCATAAACCGACCACGACCAGGTGCTCCTCACAAGATTTCTGACAGAGGAGTGAAAAGAATTATCAGAAGAGTTGTCCAAGAGCCAAGGACCACTTGTGGAGAGCTTCAGAAAGACCTGGAACTAGCAGGTACGATTGTTTCAAAGAAAACAATAAGTAATGCACTGAACCACCATGGCCTGTATGCACGCTCACCACGCAAGACTCCACTGCTGAAGAAACAGCATGTTGAATCTCCTTTAACGTTTGCTGCACAACATTTAAACAAGCCTGTGTAATACTGGGAGAATATAGTCTGGTCAGATGAGACCAACATTGAACTGTTTGGATGCCAGAATACACATCATGTTTGGAGGTCAAATGGCACTGCACATCAGCCCAAAAACACCATACCAACAGTGAAGTTTGGAGGTGGGAACATCATGGTGTGGGGCTGTTTTTCAGCATATGGTACTGGCAAACTTCAAATAATTGAAGGAAGGATGAGTGGAAAAATGTACAGAGACATTCTTGATAAAAATCTGCTTCCATCTACCAGGATGATGAAGATGAAACGTGGCTGGACATTTCAGCAAGACAATGAGCCCAAACACAAAGCCAAGGAAACTCTCAGTTGGTTTCAGAGAAAGAAACTAAAGCTGCTGGAATGGCCCAGCCAATCACCTGACCTGAATCCAACAGAAAATCTATGGAAAGAACTAAAGATCAGAGTTCATAGAAGAGGTCCACAAAACCTTCAAGATTTGAAGACTGTTTGTGTGGAAGAATGGGCCAAAATCACACCTGAGCAATGCATGCCACTAGTTTCTCCATACAGGAGGCGTCTTGAAGCTGTCGTTGACAACAAAGGCTTTTGTACAAAGTATTAGATAAATTTCAGTAAGTGTGTTCAATACTTTTTCCCTGTGCCATTCTACATTATTACAAATAACTTCATTTTTGGACATTTATGTTTGATTTTTTTGTATGTATGGATCACTTGGGTTGTTACCAACATCTGGTGAAAATTTCATGTCATTAGCACCTCTAGTAATATATTTACTGAGAAAAATGGTGACGTGTTCAATACTTATTTTACCCGCTGTATATTATTGCTAAATTAATAAACTTATTTTCCTCTTCCTTTTATAAATATTGTTAATTTTACTTCAGTCATATTAAGTCAGAATATTTAAGCAAGGTTGCGTTGTTGTATTGTTAAAGTTTAGATACTGTATACCAGGTTTTTTTTTCCTTTTTGTGACTAACATCAAGCTTGTGTTGGTTATGGCTGACAGTAAGTCTGTATGATAGAAAGAGACATACGTCCACTGCTGTTTTCATCTTTACTGAATCCCACCCGGTAAAATTACTCATTAACCAAAGCAGCGATGATTTATTCCACACTCTGCGCCTGCTCTCAGTGCTTTCATGGCCAAACTTTATGTCCCCATCTGCCGAGCATTAACTGGTCCACACAGATACTCTGCTTTTTATCATCAGCCAGGTTCTGCAACGTCTCAGTGCACACCTGCTGAGCAGTATATTCACCTGGTGTTACAAGCATCTTGTTTCATGTCTTGCCCAAGGCGTTTTTGTCTTGATCAAGCTGCTAACTTTGTGATTAACCTGCCCTGCAAAATAGTTGATGTGTGAGCTGTTTTGTTTCTTGTTTGTCTGTTCTATGTTAACTCAAATCCATTTTACTGTTCAGATATTCTATCAAGATGCATCCACATCTGCTGTATTTTAAAGTTTGAACCAAGGTCATGAGTTCAGAATATGATGAGAAGGAAGAAAAAGTCTGCTTGACCGAGTTAAATTAGTTTGTTACTGGCTCCACCATCACACTATGAGGAAATATTATTTTACTGTTCAAGTGATTTGTTTTGATTATGGCTGCTGATTGGTTGTCAGTGTAATTTAGTGAGTAATAAAATAGCATGTGTCCAGTTGGGCTGATGAAACATCAAACTAATTGTTTTGTTCTGAGCAATTTGTACACGCTGAAAGAGCTGCAAGAAGAGCTGAGAGATACCTGTGGTCTGATGGAAAACTGACTCATACATGGTTGAATCATTCTCATGTTGTAAAACACAAAGAGACAGGAGGAGCTGCTACATCAGGTTGTGCAACCTTAGTTAGAGAAAATGAATTCATTTTGTGTTTCGATAATAAACAATCTGGTTGTTTTAGATGATAAACAGAAAAGTCTTCAACTTATTGCCATTTTGTCTTACCCCCATTCCTCTGATTTTCAGATGCGTAGTGGTGTCCTGATTTTCTCTAAGATGTACGATAAATAGTGCTGATGTGTTTGGCCTTAAAAACTGTAATTTTTCAAAGGCACACCTCAAACAGTGTATTAGAAAGGAAATTTTATGTGGAAGTTTAAAACCGAACAAATTCTTTCATCGTTATTAGAATAAATTCAAACCAACCAAGCTAAGTAGCGTGTGGCTAACTAGCGTGTGGCTAACTAGGGCAAAATTTGTTTTGCAGCCTATTAAACCAAAAACTGATTCACCAGCAAACTTAAAACAACATTATAGTTTTTTTAATCAAAATCCTGGTATGTTAGTTTACATTAAATGTATTAATAACAGATTAGGCTTCATGAAATGGTGAAGATATCAACCAATTATCCGTGTAACTTAGAATTAAGAGGCAGAAAGTCTCGGTGTAGGTGAAACACCAGGACTTGGATCGAGAAAGCTTTAGTTGAAGATGTTTGTAACCCTGTGACAATGCTGAGTCATCTGAATGATACAAGAAACCATACGGAGCAAAGGCCAGGCCCAATGAGGAGGAGGTCCTTTGGTCATTTTTTAAGCCTGATTGATTTGTTTCAAGGAGGCTGCTCTGTGAGAGGAAATCTGAGACTTGTTTGACAATCATGTTTTCTGAGAAACTGATCAATAGTTTTTAACTTGAACAGTATACATGAAAGGTTTACTGAGCAATCAGACTGAATACGGGGTTCCCAATGAATATAAATGATAAAATATGAGGTATAGTTATTATTAAGCTGTTAAATGGCTTTTAATTTTATTTAGAATGATTTCATTTGTAAATAAGTGGCTCTATTTTTGGAAAGTAGGTTCAAATTTCGAACGAATTGTGGCAAGTGTATGTTTTTTTCATACATAGAAGTTGGACACTCATTATAGATCTTCGTCTGAATTAAACTAAAAGTGTTTGAGGGGAAAAAAAATCCTCATATTTTCTCCAGATCAGAACGCTTTCTGTTGAGCAGCCCACATCGCTTTATTGTTCGTGTTCCTGGAATGTGAATGAAAGTCCTTGGACCAGAATGCCTCTCAGCCAAATCCTCAGAGTAACAATGCACGCTGTGGGAGTTAATTAATTTATTTTCACTTTTCATGTTATTTGGCAATTCTGATTACTTTGAGGCTGAGCTTTATTTGCGCTGCAGTCGCAGAAAACAAGTGCTGTTTGGAGACGTTTCAATAAGTTTCTGTTTTTTATCCCCTTGAACTGATGTTTTTTTTTTCAGACATCAATAACCGTTCAGCTGTCTTGAACATCAAAAATACCGCTCAGTGGTAACATCTTAGATAATTAAGCAAGCGAGCTGCCAGTAACGTAGCTTTTCTTTTTTTTTCTTTTTCTTCAATAAACTGAAAGTGGAAGGTATATGCTGCTTTTATAAAGGCATCGAAAGCTGCCGAGAGTAAGAACGACAGAAAGACAAAAACTGCACAACAGAATGTCGATCTGGGAACAAACAGCTTATTTAAGGCTTCGCGACAGACAGAAATGTGGTCGATTACAGAACTAATTGGGTTGCAAAGATCCAAGGGAAAATAGCAGAACTTGTTCGCTGCCTGCTCGTAACAAACTTGAGTGAAACCAACAAGTACAACACAACGACAGTGGAAAAGGTCAACAAAAAGCATCTCATCACTAAAGAGAATATTCATTTTCAGAACCATTTTTTGAACAGCAAAGCATTAAGAGTAATTAATTAATTTCCAGGGCTATGTCTGGAATTGTGTGGTAGAACCTGCTCACTGTGTGTTTATGTGTGTGTGTTTGTGTGTTGTTTCACAGGGTACGGACGAGGATGAGCAGAAGCTGATAAGGGCCACCTCTCTGATAGAGAGCCAACACCACCACCTGCTGCACTGTCTGGAGAAAACCACTGTGAGGGGGTTTCTGTTTTACTTTAAATCCTCCTAGTATCTGTGTTTATCAGCCATTTGTGAATTCATTCACAAATACTTAAGGTGCTGACAGAATATGCAGGGTCACACAATACTGCGTGAGACTGCACGTTATTTTCAAGATTTGATCTGCAGCTCCATCATTTCTTATTTAGTCTGAAACTTTGGAATGAAAAGTGCTGGGTGGTTTACCTTTTTATTAAGAAGAACAAGCTTTCTCAGTTTGATGATCTTGTGTTTTTTTTTTCTTCCAGTATAACTTTGTTCAAAACTTGAGCTTGACATGACGAGTGTACGTAGATCTAAAACAAGACAAGAGGAGTTTTTGCTCCCGTTTGTTTCCCCGTCAAGCACGTCTATCACTCTGACAGGTTTGATTTTCCTCACGTTGAATCTACTTGTCAACATCAGTCAGAAGCAAAAATAAAAAATAAAAAAACATAAACATCTTGGCAGGAAAGCTCCAGAACGTCAGTTTGACAGTTTTCAGGGAAGCAGTGAGACACGTGGAGGCGGGATGTGTCGCTCTGCTTTAAAACTTTTTTTATTTTCTTTTACTCTACAAATACAGGATCTGGTGTTCCTCAAAAACAAACAGTTAATAAAAATCATCATTTCATTAGATTATGTCCTCGACTGTTCAGTGTACTTACAGCCATGTGAGCTGAGGTCTGTATTTTTTTTTCTGATCTGCTTCTGTCTTTTTTGTTTTGTTTCCTTTCAGGCTCATGAGTTCGTCGACGAGCAGATGTACGAGCAGAATTGTTTGGAAACAGCGCTGCAGACCTATCCGTCCCACAGCCCGTCTGTAGCCAGCCAAGACAGCCCCGCGGTGAGCTGCTGTGGCCGGGGGGCGAAAAGAAACGCTCCCCTGCCCAACGCCAGCCTGCCTCCCGCCAAACCCGTCCCGACACACCGAAGCCCCCTGCAGGAGCTCAGCGCCCTCCACATACAGAGCAGGGACCCCCTGGCACACACAACCAGGTGAGGCACAGCAGAAACACACAAATATGAGGGCATTAACAGGATGTCGGTGCTTATGTGCAGTTCACAGTAAAACGATTAGATTAAAGATCAGCTGCTGGCTGTCAGAAAGAAACAAGACGAAAATCTTCACAAAGGCCATTTGAATTGAAAAATGACTGATAGTGTTCTAATATTTTACTGCAAAATTGTAAAATATTAATTCAATGGCAAGTCTTCATAATCTTTTATAAAGACAAGTTTTAAATAAAATACAAGAGTTTCAATTAATGTTTAAAAAATCTACATTGTTGTAGTTTTTCTGGCAGATTAATTGCACTGTCTGTATTTAGAATATAAATACATTTGCTTTTGAAGATGCTTTGTGTAATAATTCACCACAAAAGTGATTTAAATAATACAAATATTTAAATACCGCTAAGGTAGAGTTGAAGTGATTTTATGTAAAATATGTAAATAAATTGCCACTAGGGGGCAGTATTGGACCAATATATTGTGCACTCTCCATGTAAATACATTATAGACTGTATTATTAGTCATTAAAAAATAAATAATCATCAATATTATTATACATAAGGGATTAAAAATAAATATGTAAAGGATAAATAAAGTATTTATTAACCAATCAAATAATATTAAGCAATAAATACCTCAATGTGTCAATTTTTTTTCATTTGACAAATGATTCTTAAAATAAAAGAATTTCACGATTTAATGAGATATGTTTAAAAAACGTCAGATTGTAATTTTTTATCTTTGTATAATTTAATAAAATGGATTAAAATGATCGGCCACTTCAATCTTGTGAAAATCAACTGGTTCATTAATTACCTGATGACACTTATTTTATTTGTCACATTTAGTCTCTCTTTTTTTCAGCAGCCGTTCAAACCTTAATCTGAAAACTGACGACAGAAACAGGATCAACTGCAAAAGCGGCCGCATCACCACAGCCATCATCAGCCTCCCGACGCCTCCCGCTCTGACACCGGACGGCGATGGTCTCCACGGGCCGCCGCAGCGGGAGCGCAGGATGCCTCCGCCTCCGGGCCGCCAGACCGCCCCGAGCATCCAGACCACGGCCAGCTCAGCTGGAACCAATATTGTGAAAGTCTCCGCTTTGTGACTTCCTGGCCAGAGGATGGAACTCGGGAGGTGGTGACGAGGTGGAGGAGGGGGGAGCAGGTAACACATTTTGTCAAAGGATCCTCTGTGTCCCGCTCTCACAGGCTCACCGACAGGAGAGCGGTTCTCCAGAAGTCTGGAGACGCCGCTGGTGGACTTCAGAGACACAAAACGAAGAATCAAACCCACATCTTTACGTGTTTGTACTGTAGATACAAAGACTTGTTGCATTTAGTTTCTGACAGCAGATGTTTTACATCTCCTGCTGTAAAGTAAAAAAAGACATTGCGCATTTAACAAAAGGATTTTTAAAAAAAGGATTAAAAGGAAATGTCACAAAATGCCAGTAAGTTTCAAGTGAATTCACAGTGAAAAGAATATTTGTTGTCTTTAAATATTGAAGAAAGATAAAAGTGTGGGTTGTGTTCACTGTAATTTTATTGCTCCCATTTGTGCTGTGTGTTAGACATATGAAAATTTAAAATAATATTTATATACGTGTTTTTTTTTGTTTGTTTTTTTCTTTACAGCGTCGTTTGAAAGTAACAGAACTCGAAGCTGCTAACTTCATTCATGAAATGTTTGGAGATGTAATAATGAATGAGTGCTCTTGTCTTGTCGAAGATTCAAACCAAACTGTGAGTTTTAGTTGCCTCATTTTTAAAGGTTTTACTGAACACTGAAGGACTCGGACTTTACAAGGTTCATACTTGAAACAAAGCAGCGACTCTTAACGTGAAAAAACGTCGACCGGCCACAATATTACTTGAAGGTGAGTTGTGATACTTTAATCAGAGCATTATGTTGTGTTTTGGTTTTTGTTTTTATTATTACTGCACATAAAAAAACAACCGTATTGATTTTTTTTCCCCTATCAGAGCTGTCAGATGAAGTGTTTTTAGCGACATAACTTTAAGGCTTTTTGCAGCATCATACACCATCTTTAAGTTTTATTAAGGGAAATCACGTTTCTCACACTGAAGTGACTTCTGATACATCTGTCACAATAAGATAGATTTACCTTTAAAGACGTCATATTCATCACTTCTCAAAAGTCTTGGCGTTGCTGTTTGTGTTGTTTCGGATCTTTTTACCAGTTTGGAACTGAGCTTTTCTGTCTGATGTGAACAAAAGATTCTGTCTGTTTGTTATAATGACTGTGAAGTGCCAGATGAAGATTAAAATCTGACACAGAGTTTAAACCACATCCTTGTCCTTTCCTTTAATACCAGTTTGTTTTCCCTGCACTTCCTAAAAGGCTAGTTTTAGTGGTGCCTGAAATAAGGATGGTTTTCAGTGAAAGCCAATAGTTTGTTATTAAAAATGCTTTTAAATGTGTGATTAAAAATAGATTAATTTCTTCATCACTGTCTGAATTTCAAAAGTATCTTATTTTAGAGGTTGACAGCTGAATGGACACATTGCAGTATATTTAACACTGACAGGGGCGGTTCTAGGGGCGGGGCTACAGGGGCATTGGCCCCAGCTGAAATCTGATTGGCCCCCTGAAGTGCCCCAGTCCTGTCACTCGTCTGTCCTTTACCTGGGAGTGATGATGGTGGATGCAGTTCCATGTTCAAACACTAGTTGCGCTAATGAGTCAAATATTAAAGTCCAGAATGAATCAAGCTTATAGAATTCTTCTTCTCTTCTTCAAAAAACGTGAACAATCCTGCAAAAAAGTCTTTCAAATGATGACTGGATTTTCTCACATGTTGTGTGTTTGAGAATATTTTATCTTTGCACAGTAAAATATATGAAAAACTGGTGAGGAGAATTTAATGTGCAAGTTTTTTTGGTACCACAAGGCTCCCCTTATAGATGGCTTATAAAGAGTTTATAGATAGGTTATTAATTCATCTGTAAATACTTTACAAATCAATAATAAATATTTATTATGCAATAAGTAAGGATGATAAAAACTGTCCAATTTCTTAACAAATAATTAGACAAATCTGTACGCATACATATTACATCTAAAAGTGTTATTTTAAACATTTCAGTCTACTATTTTAAGCACAAGAACAATAAGAAACACATGTTTTACCAAAATAGTATTGCACTGTACTGCATTATAAATATTCACAACTGTCAAAGGGAGACTTATCATAAAGTGTAATACAGTACACTATTTATTAATGACAAATACACATTTATAAATGCCAAAAGTTAGTTTTTAATGTGAAAATCATCATTTTTAAAACATTGTGTTTATTATCAGTATCTGAAATTTGTAACATATAACTACTGTCAACAATGTTGATGTATCAAAAAGGTAAAAACATGTCATGTTAACCAAATAATCCCACCCCATCCAAAATAGTTTTACACTTTACAATGAGGATCCCTTTAATATTTGTGGATATTTATAATGCAGTAATACAGTACAATATTATATTTTAAACTATGTGCTTACAAAATAGTAAATATAGTCTGAAATGTTTAATGCCCAAACAGATTTGGCTCAGTATTTGGAAAGAAACCGGACAGTTTAGTCTCTTTTTTTACCTTAATTAATGCATAATAAACACTTATTAATAATTTATAAAGTGTTTACAGAATCAATAGCCTATCTATAAACTCTTTAAAAGCCATTTATATGGGGAGCCTTAATGTAAAATGGTATTCTTTTAAAAAATATATATAATATTGCATTACAAATGTTTGAACATGTATGACTGGTTAAATGTGTACACCTTACCAAAACTGGGGATTTGTGTGAAAGGACGTTGAACAAAGACTTGGCCCCTGTATGAATATTGTGGCCCCTTGATGGCCCCTTACTCAGAAAAATCCTAGATCCGCCACTGAACATTCAAAAAAGGGAAGAATTTAGTTTTTTTTTTCTTCTCAGGATTCAGAGGGGTAAACCTCTCCTGAGGCGTCTCTTTCATGTAAGCAGGTGTTTTTCTGTCAGCTCACTCTTAGCCACATCTGAGACTCTGCTGATTATTTGCAGCTTAAACCCATCATTAGTAAGGAAACGTGACGTTTGATGACTCAAACACATCGTGACTAACTGTGTTCGGAGGTAAATGTGCACATATCCCACCGCTTCAAACAAATCAGCTGACTCGTTAAGGAGAAGCGTCTCTCACCAAATAAGATTTTTTTTTCTCAAATGTAGAATTTGGCCATAAAATGTTGGAATCTCACACTGAAAACTGATTATTATTTCTTTTTATTGGTAAAACTTCACAGATGTGGCAAGAAAAGAAAGAGGTCAAAGGTTAGATTTAAAACAAATTATAGTTTACAGTCAGTTTGTGTAATAAAGCATCTGAACCTTCAGATGGCAGCACAGCTTTGACGATAAAGACAACTCTGCAAAAGGTTTATAATAAATATACAGCTTTCTGGTGTCTTATTTTTTATGAAAATACATCATGGAGTCAACAAAATTTTCAATAATAATTGATCTGCCAAAGATTTTACCAACTAATTATTACAGCTTGTTATTGTTTGATCATTAAAGGTAACAAATGTGTCAAATAATAACAAATAATCTAATTTATTACATCTAAATCTTTTCAAACTAACAGTAGCCCTATTTTAGGCGACGGGTTTAGGCATTTTTGCTTTAAAAAAAAAAGCTGAGCAGCTGTGTGAACCTTTAGGTCAACATTTTAGGTTTTAGGTGCTGAGTGACAGAGCAACTTTCAGCAGGTCATTTGGAACAACAGTTTCTGTATAAACAGTCAATAAAGGGATGGCCAAATCATGTTTTTAAACTGATGTTATATTTTTTATTATAGTATAAACTTTGCTGTGTTACATTTTTACAGTGCATGCTTTTTCCCCTTTAAATCTAAAACATGAAAAAGTGACATCATGTTTTAACCTTACAATTAGTAGCATAAAACATGAGACAGAAAATCAAACAACCAGTTAATCTGATGAATTTACAGAGTATTTGAATTGAAATTATGGGTTTTAAATTATGGATCTGGTGTATCTATAACATCTATACATAATAAACTTTATCAGTTTGTTAACTCTGATGGTCCACCTAAATACCATACCATACCACTTTTATTTATAAAGCACTTTAAACAGCACAAGGCCAAAAAAAAGTGCTGCACAGTAGACAAATGTGACATTTTGTTATCAAACTTGTCTAAAACTTTGACATAGTTTAAACTTGAACTACTGGAAGCTTTTAATCTCATTTCTTGATGTTTCCAGCAGCAGGGATGTGTTAATCAGACCAAACCCAGAGAATGAGTTATTCCTGTAGAAAAGGCATCTATGATGGAAAGATTGGAGTCACAACAACAGCAGTTTGGTTTCACTGCTGTGTTTTGTCTTGCCTTGATCCAGTTTTGGCCTGAGCACAAAAATCCAACAAGTTTCAGCTTTCAGTGAGTCACATTAAGGATTATGAAGTGATCTGCGCTCCGATGGTTTCAGCTTGCAGAGTCTTTGTTTCTGCGTTTCAGTGCTGAGTGATCTGAGGTGACGCTTCCTTATCCAGCGCTGCCCTCACGCTGACAGCTGGGAGGAAGTTCGCTCCCGGACGAGAACCAGCTGCAGGTCGAGGTCACAAATGGAATGAAACTATCATCTGAATCATGAAGCAGCCTGTTGAATGCTGAGTAGAGCCTCGTGTCAACATCTAAATTATGTCTTCAGGCGGTTGGAGCACACTCACTTTATCCTGGGAACGTTTTAGGCTTCATTGGTTTTCTTTTGAAGATTTGTTGCAGCAAAATGTTTGAATAAACTGTTTCTGACTTCGCTCAGTTTGTCTTTCTAAACAAAATCAAGTCAGGATTGGGAAAAGTTGCTTAAATCTGTGTAAAGATTATTCATCAACTAAAAACTCACCTTTCTGCAGGTCCAATGAAAGGGAAACTGATAAGTCTAGCACATTGAAGCCAGGTAGAAAAACCACTCCGGATTTATTGGTTCCAGTTAAATAAAATTTACAGACAGAAAACCAAAGAAGCTCAGGATTTAAAATTAATTCTGATCTCAGTCTTGTTCAAACAGTTCTGACTTCATTTGTGCTGAGTCACTCCCAGACAGTAAATCTGATGCAGATCCTTGACTGAACCACCCTCGCATAAGATCAACTTTATGCTTCACAAACTAAAATATTCTGAATTATATCAAATGGTCCAGTTTAAAAGAGTTTAGCCCTGTGGTCTTATGCTGATATGCAGTATAAACAGTATGCAGCAGTCATGTGACTGACCTGTTTTATGTTGGTGAAATCTGACAAGTATACAGTCAAGAAAGAGATAAATCTGCACTCTAAAAATGAAATGTTGGATTTACTTAACCATGTTATGTTACCTGGTTCCACTTAACTGAGTTGAGTAAATTCAAAGCAACATACTCATGTTCTTTGGCTGAAAAACTGGTATACTTAACTCAGTTAAGTGGAACCAGGTAACATAACATGATTAAGTAAATCCAACATTTCATTTTTTTACAGTGATGCTGCTCAATGAAAAGAGAGAATATCGTTAAGACATAAATCAGAATTCACATTCACAACTTCTAACAACTTTTAAGTTTGAAGTTTTAATGTCAATTATTGAATTTCTTGTTTCTTGTTACTTCCACTGTTTCTATAAGTAAATTTGATAGTTGGCAACTTATAAAATATTTTTAAGGACATACTAACAAGCAATATGAGAAAAATACTGTGTTGATTTTACTCTTTTTTTTGACTGGTCTTTATGGATTTGCAACGTGTTCCTTTAAAGGTAGAAGGAAAACATTTTAGGTCCGTTAAATCTCTTCTTCCCTTTCTAAGTGGATTTGGGATTATAGATGATTTATTTATTTCCTCATCGCACTGCAAGATTCAGGATCTTTGCAACAGTCTGTCCATCTGGAACACATCACCAACATTCAGGCCTGATTTTAAAACGTCCAGAGGACAAAAAGCAGATCAGAGGGTACCGAGTTCCTTGTTCCTTCAGCTAAAGGCTTTCCTCATCCGTTTGGCTGCACAGATCTCTTTTGACTGACGAAATTAATGCAATGCATCACTTTGAGTAGGATCATTAAGAAATGCCAGTTTAACAGACGGATTAAAACGACCCCAGGATTCACTTTCCTTAAATTATAGGACAGAATTTTCTGTTGCATCCTTAAAGGGAAGGTAAATAACATCCTTGCATTTACAATTGTCCCTTCCTGTCACATCAAGTCAGATGCTTCCTTTGGCCAGGAAACTGTCCCTACAGCAGGTCTTTTTGGACACATCCTCCTTTAATTTCCTCCAAGAAAAGAGGCTGCAGAGCTGGAATCTAAAATATATGGAAATGTCTGTTTGCTACAAAATATCTGCAGATGTTTTTTCTTTTCTTTTTTTATGGCTTACTAAAATCTCTTTAAGTGGCTGTGGGAAATGTGCTCTCCCATGGGGCTGGATCTGTTGAATCCTGTTTGAATGAGAGTCAGTCTGCTTCCTCATTGGAGGAAACTGGATGGGTAACGTAAGCGCTCGACTTGAATGGTAACACACACCACACACCCTCACAGACACACACACCACCAGTCATACAGCAGCCAAGCAGCAGAGGAGGAGGAAACGGACGATCGCAGCCATAAGAAGAATCTCATCATCATTATTTTTATTTTATTTATTTAGTTATTTATTTATTTATTTATTGCCTTTGGAGGAGTAAACACGTTTTGCGTCATTACGAGCCGCGCGCGCATTCCTCCGCAGGATTTGCGCATCTGTAACTGTAAATCATTCGCGGCTCTAATGTGATTTTATAATCCCGCTCAGCAGAAAGCGTTCACAGTCATGCGCGAGTAGCGTTCTTTTAATTATTTTTTTAATCTAAATAAATTTAAAAAAAATAGAAATCAGGAAGAGCAGCTTCTTCAAACCTGAATCCAGAAACATGGACGCGTGCCTGAGAAGACTCAAGCAAGAACTGGTAGGTTCTGGGGCATTTACTTAAAAATCCTTTTAATCACTTGTGATAAAATATATCATTTCTGCATCAAGCAGATGTTCCCTGCACTCGTTTCTTCCCTTTAGTTTTCCTTGCATGTGTCTTATCTTCAGTATTAAAGCTGTGCACATCCTGCTGTCAGCACATGTGGAACAGATGTTTCAAGTCTAAGTTTTAAGACTTGTCTTCCTCTCCTGTCACCGGTAGTATTTTAGTAAAGCTCTCTAAGTTGGATGTTAGGAAAAAGTGATAACATCTTTCAGCAGACTCCATTTGCATCAGGAGCTGGAGTAAAATTAGCTGTCACATTAAATTTATTTATGTCCCGAAACAATTTATTGCTCTTCATTATTGGTTAGGTGAACATCTGTCCTCTGGTTAGCAAACGTTTGATCTTTATTTTTAATTAAAAACCTGCAAGCAAAACCCTCATGGCCAAGATCATGTGGTATGGTGTCATAGAGGCAGATTCAAAGGAGCGTTGGCACTGATTTTATTTGGAATCATCTTCAAAGCAGATGTTTTTTTTTTTTTACCTTCTGTCTGTCTGGCACACAGAAAATCCTCGGTATAATCCTGTTCAACTTCTCCACTGGCTGCTCCAAATGAGCCACTCGTCTGTGAAAGAAGCACTTGAGATTTTAGGGGAGTTGTTGTGTCACAGCCCAGCTTGCTGTAGATAAAGTGTCACACGGTGCCGAGGATCAAACAGGAGAACAGGGAGCAGATGCTGGTTTAAAAAACGCTGAGGCCGTGTCCTGCTGCAAGGCACCATGTGGGACACAATCTGTTGTTCAGCAAGGCAGTCCGTGCCAAGGTTGTCGGTTTTCCTTCCGCTGTGACTGATTTTTCATCCAGTCTGCAACAGACACTACAAGCAGCTAATGACCCGTTTACAGAGGCCAAGTTGAATCAGTGTAGTTTTAAAGAGAAGAAATCCTTTATTTTAACATTTATGTCACAGTTTCTACAAATTGCATGCAGCTGAAACCACTAATGTTTCACAGTGGTTATTGTTCATGTTTTGTGATGTTGGACGGAGCTAAATATTAAGTCTTCATAAGTTTCTGCCAACATTTCGTTGTTATGATGCAGATTTATTTGCATTACAGCAACATAAAATCTGACTTTGACAAATTAAAGTTGCAGACTTCAGTCTCAGGTGAGGGATTATTTACACCAGTTAATCAGACTGAATGTCCATTTTACTTTTCCCCATTAGTGACCAAGAGTTCATGAGTTCCATTTATTCTGAGGGGTGATGTGATGTCGCCATCGTAACAGGAAGTGATGCATGTCTGGTCCACAGTTTATCTTTAAAATATAGTAAACTGGTTAGCATAGCATCAGTCCTTGCAGTATTTTATACGCAGTTTCAAGTACTTTCTGATTGTTTTGTTACTGAAACAGATTTTGCTAGTGGTTAGACGGTGAGCTGGGGGTCAGTCTCAGCTGCTACCACAACCAAACTTACTTTGAGTTATAAACATTTTTGTGTTTGCTAAGGTTTCTTAGCTGTGGAGGCCATCTTGTATGTAACTGAATACTCTGATGAATGGTAAATTATCCCAAAAAAACACTATGTAACAATGTACAGATAATTAAACAAAATGTTAGTAAACCATCAAAAATCCACAAATATTAACTGAAGAATTTGAAAGATTTGCTAAAGTTTTATAGCTTTGCAATAAATTGATATCTAGGAGCCACTGCCGAAACTTAAAATCTAGATAAATTGTTTTCCAGTGTTGCTTTATAAAAAATGTGGATGTGGGATTAAGAAGACATTTTCTTGAGTCCCGTAAATTACAGCCATCATTTCCCTGCTTTAGACCGGACAGGCTTTTAAAAAGACTGCCTTAAAAAAGTGCTAACACGGGGTCAAAGGTCAGGATGTGAGTCTGTGCCAGGGCAAAGTGAGGTCACGCTCAAACGTTTGAAGCAAACTTTTGTTTTGTCCCAACCGTTGAGCTCATTCAGCTCCAACCTTCCAGCTCACAAACAGGAATGTGTCGTTATTTGTCAGAGTTCATCTTCTGTCAGTTAATGAAGAAATGTCTGTCAACATCTATTTGTTCTCGTCTCGTGGTTCCATAGGATGGAAGACGACAATGAAATATTTTTAAACCCGCTGCATGACTCATGGTTCCTGCAGCGGACAAAGAATCATAAAAAAAGAAAACTAAAGCCCTTCCTGCCGCTTTAGATTTGAAAAACACAAACAGTAACGTGCTTTTGACTCGCATTGTCTGAACGTACAGTTTGCACCTGCTTCACCACATCATTTCAGGCTCCGCCGCACAGGTCTGAGCTTTTCATACGACTCCAGCTGAGGCTGATTTTAGATTTGTGGAACTCATTTTCTTCCCTTTCACACCTGAGGGGGAATTTCAAGCCCGGCTGTCACTTTGGAATTCAACAACCAAAGCCAACGAGCATGAAGTCATAAAATCTGAGCGAAAAATGTGCCAAACGACCTTCTGGAAAGTTTCACATTCTTTGTTACCTTTTTGGGGCGTTGGACGAGAAGAACCGCTCACAAAGCGGTGTGGTGGTTTAACTTTAAGCCCGTTTGTTTTGTTCCTCCCTCGCGGCTTCTGTTCTCCAAACTGCCTTTTCCTTCCCCTCGGCTAAAATTGGACCGGCTGTTAGTGGCAGCTGCGAGGTTTGCCTGGGTGATCATTGTGTTTCAGAGGGGGACACAAACGTCAAGCAGATTCTGTTTATTTTTATTTGGTTTTCACATAACCTGTTGTTTTTATGAGTCACAGACTGAAAAAAAAAGAAATGACATTTTTGCAGATTCTGCTTTGATCTCGTTGCTCTTCCCTCTTGTGTTAGCATGCAATGAAGGAACCAATATTGACAATTTTACGGTGCAACACATACAGCACTATTAGAACTGTTAGGAGTTGTCTCATCTTCAGGTGACAGTGGGCACATTTAAGCACCTTTTTTATTTTCACCATCTCCTCGAGGAACTGAGCAGATGAATCTTCTACGTTTCTGTTCACTAATCAATAGCTTTGTCTTTCCTGCTGAACTGGTCTGTGAGAATGGAAACTAAGGACTTAAAAGGTGGGGTAGTATTATGTAAAATCATCTTTTTGAGCTTTGCATCATGTTATAATGTCGTTTCCTCATCAAAGCACCACCTATTTGCAGAGGTGTATAGTAACTAAGTGCATTTACTTTGTTACAGTACTTAAGTAATTTTTTTGAGGATTTGTATTTTACAACGTTTTTTATTCAAATCATTACTTTTACTATTATTTCGTTACATTTTAAACCTAAAAATGATACTTTTACTTCTTTACGTTAAAATTTAACACCTAGTTACTCATTACAAAATTAAATATGTCCAAACTCATCATGAATGGAGATGTTTACACGCTACAAAAAGTTAAGTATTGAATTTATTCAACCAAGTCATGTTAACTGGTTCCACTAAACTAAGATGAGTAAATATGAATCAATAGTGCTCAATTTACTCAACTTGGTTTAATGGAATTAGTTGTAAACAATTCAAGTTTATTTCTCAGAGAGTGTGTAAAAGCACTTTTACTTTCCATATTTTTTGGAACAGTTTTGTGAGTTTTACTTAAGTACTTTTCTTATTTTTACCAAAATCGTTTTATTTTAAGGTATATTTACTTCTACTTAGTTATTTTTTAAGTACTTTATAGTCCTCTGCCCATTTGTATCTATCTCTTTAGAGCTCAGTCTACAGCTGAGATCTTGCATCACAGAGCACCCTGAGGCATTGTTGTAAAGACCTGCTGAAGTGGGAG